CGAGTACAGCCAGTGCCAGGAGGAGCCCGCCCAACATGCAGGTACTGCAGGCTGAGCAGGAGCCACAACTGCAGTGCCTCTGCTCACAGGGACTTGGCTTCTCAGGGTGTGCCCCAGAGCACCAGGGAGAAGGGGTCTCTGCCAGGCTGAGTCAGAGCCACTGTGACACCTCTCTCCATCTCCCTCCTGTCTCTAGGCCTTCACTTTGACTCCTTGTCCAAACCCGTTAGTGCCCCCCTGCCTGCCCTGGCCCCCGGGCTGTCCCCCTTCCTCCCTGCTGGGCCCCCTCCTCCTGCGGCCCCGCCACTCCTGGGCTGCTGCGGGAATTCTGTCTGCTCCCTGGCTGAGGCACAGCAGGAACTGCAGGTGCTCCGGAGACAACTGGGAGAAAGTGAGCACACTGCCTCTTGCCTTGGGTTTGGTCCTGCCTGCCCTGCATGCTGTGCTGTGACATATCATCCCCCACCCTCTCTCACCTGCATGTCCTGCCCTTGATCTTCTCCTTCTCAGGGCTATGGCTTTGAGGTTGGATCCCACTGCTCTGGCTGGGGAACACGTGGCTTTCATGTAGAGAGGACCTGGTGGGTTGGAGGGACCCATCCAGAGACAGCATTAGCCCTAGATGTAGACACTGGCATATTCTGGGTCTTCTAGGAAAAGGCTGATTTGGTAAGGTGCTGTGTAGGAGTGGGGCTGAGACCCTCCACCTTGTGTCATGTAGTCATCAAATCCTGGGAGAGCCCCTGCTCCTCAGGGGGAATAGGCTTGACTGGGACAGGAGGTCAGTGATAGGGGACACTGGATTGCACTGTTGAGCAGAGCAAGAAGGGGTGAAAAAGCAGATGGAGGGAGAGTGTTGCCCCATTCTTCCTACCTGCTCATTGTCCTCCTCCAGGTGTGACACTGCCCATGGCACCAGCAAAGCCCACAGTCCCGCTGGGCCCCTTTGGAGAGGGCAGCAAAGCCCCAGCATCGTTCTGCCAACACGGAGCCCTGCAGGGCCCGGCCGAGCTCCCCGGAGCCGCCGACACCCGCGCCCTCTGGGACATGCCCCTTCCCCCCCAGCCGCTCTGCGGGGCCCTGCCAGCAGGGCACCTCTCTGGCCAGAAGCTGACAGGTATGGTCCACGCTGGAGGGCACAGGGGCATCCATCCCACTGCCTGTGGGGCACCACGACAGCTGTGGGACAGGGCTCTGCTGTGGAGAGAGGCAGGCGCAGCCTCTCCTGCGCTGAGCTGTGTCCCTGGCTGTGGCAGGGGCAGACCTGCTGGAGGAACACCTGCTGGAGATCCGCAGCCTGCGCCAGCGCCTGGAGGAGTCCATCTGCACCAACGACCGGCTCCGGGAGCAGCTGGAGCGCCGCCTGGCCTCCACGGGCAAGGCCAGCGGTACGGGGTGCACGGTGTAGGGGCCAGGCCTCTGCACATCCCTCTGCTCACCCCGAGCACAACCGGGCACTGGGGAGAGACTCAGCACTGTCCCCTTGTCATGGCACAATGCCAGCGCCCCATGAAAATACAACCTACCAATCAAATGCTGTGCAATGTGATCAAGAACAGAGCAAAGCAGGCCAAACTTAATAACAAAGGAAAAACTTTATTACACTACTACTACTACTATAAAAGGAAAAGAAAGGAAAGAAAAAAAAACCACACAAAATTTGAAATGAAAACCTTCCAAAACATTCCTCCTCCCACCACCCAACTCCACCAAACCACAGCGAGACCCATTTGGATCCTTAATCCAGTTTTCACCCTTCAATATAATCAATACTGAGTCCATCGGGGAAGAGAGGAGTCCCCCGTGCAACCATAGACCCCCAGGAAACACAACTGCCACCTCTTGTGTTTCCATGTCATACGTGGCACTGCCCAGACACACCGGGCCAGTGTGACATTCTCCTCTCCATGTCACAGTGCTCTCACCACCGGGCATGGACAGAGACTGCTTATAGGGCAATTCCGCTTTTAACCCCTCTGTGTTCTCAGAGGCGTGTCCACCTTCAGTTGGTCACCCCAAGTGTCAGTATCCAAACCTGACCCCTGACTGGACTGACCTCTTCCTTCCAAAAAAAAATTCTCTTCCCGTGTCAAACCATGACACCCCTCCACAGGATTGCCCAGTGATGTCTATGGCCAGCCACCGGAGCTGGGGCTGCAGCTGAGCAGGGAGAACCAGGCTCTGCATGAGGAAAACCAGACCCTGCGGCTCCAACGTGACCACCTCTCCCAAGGTAGGGCTGGGCTGGCATCCTGGGGCTGAGTCCCAGAGGGCTCTGGCTGAGTGGGGTGGTGGTGACACCTCCGTGCTCTGTGTCCCCAGAGCTGGCACGGGTGCAGGAGGCACTCATGGCTGCCTGCTCCCGGGCACGGGAGGCTGAAGCAGAGCTGGGCCAGAGGCGTGGGAAGCAGCGGAAGCTGACGGAGGAGCTCTCTGAGTGCCAAGAGAGTGTCCGGCAGCTCCGGGATGAGCGGCGCTCTCTGCAGGAGGACAACAACAGGTAAGGTTAGGGCTGTGGTAGCCTTGGGGCCACAGGACTGGGAGGGATAGCTGGCACCCATGTGTCACCTCTGCAGGCTGCAGCACTCAGTGACACTCCTGCAGCAGCAGAGTGAGGAGCAGCGTCTGCTCCTGCAGACCCTACGTGCGGAGCTGCACATCTACGAGAGCCTCCCTGGCCCCTCTGCTGAGACACGAGCAGGTATGGGACCCATGCACGGCATCCCTGCCCCACTCCTGCCTTGGGGCGCCTGGCCTCTCTGCAACCCTTGGGTGGTCCCAGACACTCCTCTGGGGCAGCAGGTGGCACACAGTGGCCCTGCTGGCAGGACCCCAGCAGCCCCAGGCACGAAGGCACATCTGTGTAGGGGCTCAGATGTTTCTTGTTCCAGGCTGCTTCCCATCTCCTCCAGTGCGCGATGTGGGCACTAACTCAGCAGCTCCCCTTCTCTCCACGCTGCCCTCCGGCATGTCAGTGCTCCGACGGATGGACGGTGGGTTCTGCGGAACTCGTGGCAGCACCCTTGCTGAGCAAGACTGCAGAGCTCAGAGCAGAGTCAAGTGCCCGGGATGGGACAGGGTGGGTCACAAGGGGAGCGGGCAGTGGTCCTCACCTAACCCACCTTGCTCCACAGAGCCTCGTGGGGCAGACGCGCTGCTGAGGAAGAGCGAGGGGCTGACGGGGGCTCACGTTGTTGGCCGTCTGGACACGTACCGAGCCCTGGAGCAGCACATCGTGGAGGGAAAGGCCTTGGCCCGGGAGCTGATGTGTCTCACACGCCCAGCACTGGGGCTGCCCAAGTGCCCGCTCCCGGGAAAGGAGGTAAAGCGTGGGCAGGACGGGGGGCCAGACCCTCAGCGCACCGTGCATTGCGTGGCTCCCGAGCCCAGAACCGGCCCCGAGGGCTGCAGGGGCAGCTGGAGGCAGGGAGCCTCCAGCCCAGAGCACGGCCACTCCCCGGGTGCAGCGGGATGGGGGTGCCCCAGCAGCACCCGCTCCCGCACCCTTCTCCCGCAGGCCCTGGGACGCACAGGCACGGGGCAGGGGCATCTGTGGGGCAGCGCCAGCACCCTGCACAGCATCCTGCAGGAGTGCGTGTCTCTCCTCACTGCCTTCTGGAGCACCGTGCTGCCCGTGAGCCCTGCCCAGCAGCAGGGCAAGGTGAGCAGGGGCTGGGGGCCGGCAGGGCACTGGGCTGGGTGCTCGCTGCTCATCACCCCCCTCTGTCCCAGGAGCAGGTGCTCCAGGGCGAGATCGCGGCGCTGCGGGCCCGGCTCTCCGAGAGGGAGGACGCTCTGCAGAGCACGGCCAGGCGGCTGCACAGCACAGCCCAGCTCAAGGACAGCATGGAGCAGTTCATTGTCAGCCAGTGTACGTGCTCCGCTGGCACAGCCAAGCTGGCCTGCTCCCCACGGGCCCGATGTGGTGCCGCAGCACAGGGACCTCACTGACCCCATCTCTCTCTCCTGCAGTGACCAGGACCCACAGTGTTCTGCGCAAGGCCAGGACAAACCTGGAGGTGAGTTTGCCTTGATGGCCAGGGTGGGTGTCCAGGTCCTGATGCCCTGGGGATGGACACGGATGGCACACACCCTGTGGCTGTCGTGGAGTGCTGAGGGCTAGCTGGGTGAAGTGTGTGGGGGACACAGGGACTATTTTCCTTTTCTGTCCTCAGCTAGCATGCCCATGTCCCCAGGGCACAGTAGTGCTCTTCCTTATTGCCCCGTGTCATCTCTTGCCAGGTGAAGGCCCAGCAGGCCCTGCCTGTTGCGTGAGCCCGTGCAGGGCAAGGAGCAATGGCCAGCATGGAAGAGCCCACTGGCTGCTGAACCGTGCTGTGCCAGAGGGCTGGAGTGGACCCTGTCCCTGCTGCTCTGAGGGCCGGGGTGAAAGGACTCTGGGTGTCCCGTGCTACACAGTTAGTGGGTTTGGGCTGCTGGGGTGGTTGCATGTCCTCCACCAGCCTTTGCTTGGCATGGCAGCAGCAGCTGCTGGTTTGGCCTTTGTCTGGCCCACGCTTCAGCACTTGCTCTCTTCCATCCTCAGTGCTCAGAGTGGGGTGACACAGCCCCCCATGCTGAGCACACTTTGCCCTGGGACCTGGTCCCCTCCGTAACCCTGCTGAGTCCCTGTCCCTGCTTGTGGATGTATGTATATGTATATGTATATAGACAGAGGTAACGGGAATGCGTTTTGGGGATCCGCACGTGTCGGAGCCCCGGCGCAGGACGAAGATGTAAGAAATGCCATATTCTGTTCAGTGGCTGAAGAGTCCCCAATAAAGGTTTCCTTTGGGTTGTGGTGTTTCTGGCATGCCTGTCTCTGCAACTGTGCTCCCCCTCCCCAAACCACCTGCAGCACAAGGTGCCAAAAGCCCTGGGTGTCCCCAGGGGGTGGCTCTGTGCCCTACACTAACAACCCAAGGGCAGCTCTGTGCCACTCTGGGTGCTCCCTTTCCTCCTCTTCTAGACCCCCTCTCCAACACCAGGCAAGCAGCACGGAGAACAATAAATACTGTAATAAATAGAGAACCCCCTGTCCCACGGCACTGCTACGGCAGCAGGCGGTGCAGCCGGGGTTCTGGAGTGCCTGCCCGGCTCTGCTCTTCCCAGGCTCCTCCAGCATGGGCATGTGCCGGTGGCTGTGACAAAGTGAGCCCTGTCCCACAGAAGCAGCTGATATTGGGGACAGGGTGTTGCAGTCCTTGATGGTGCTCTCACAGCAGCAGGTAAGAGGGGCTGTGTCCAGCTGTACCGTCCATCATGCTGGCTCAACGCTGAACCTTGCAGAGGTTCAAAAAAGCTGGGGGGCAGCCCCACGGCCAGGGCTGTGGAACAGGGGGCAGGTGTCACGCTGGAGTGTCACAGAGCCCCTAGCAGACAAGATGGCCTTGGGGATTCAGCACCAGGGCAGCAGCACAACCTTCAGAAGAACAGCATGTGTTCCTGGATGCCTGGACTGGGTGCAGTGCCAGGACCACCTTGAGGCCCTCACAGGCTGGAGAAGACAGGCAGGGTGAAGCCCTTTTTGTCTTGAACATGAGGAAGGGCTGTTCTGGTGAGCAGCAAAGTGGTCCCAGAGACTCACAGAAGCCAAGGGAAGCTGCAGGTGGGTGGAAACCAAGGGCTGAACCACGCCGGTAGGATGGGACAGCGTCACAGGCCCCAGTGGCCCTGAGCTTGTTGCTGGGGCCCGTGTCCCTGCCAGGCTGGAGGCTGGAGCCAGTGGCCAGTTGTCACACAGTCCCGTGGCCCAGTGTGTGCAGACAAGCGGCATTTTGTGTCCTGTGTGGGGAGCGTGTGAGGCCCCAGCTCAGATGGGCTTGTACAGCAGTGTGGTGACGTACTTCTTCTTGTAGCGGTGAGTGGCACTGAGCACCATCACGCCATCCTGAGGGAGACAGAGTCAGCATGTGGGGCCAGGGCACGCCTGGGGCTCGGGGAGCTGCTCCTGCTGACCCCAGTGCCACAGCCAGTCCAAGTAACCACAGGGCAGCGGGGCAGAGCAAGGGCAGGGTCTGATACATGCTTAGCTCCCCCACGCTGCAGGGAACTGTCAGGAAGTCACACCCTCTGCCCCTCTATGTGCCACCCCTCAGCAGGCAGCCAGCTCCATCTGCACCCCGCAGCTGAGCAGGTTCTGCAGGCTCCTGGGAGCCACCGCAGCTCCTCACCTGCAGCCTTGCAGAACCTGCGCTTACCTTGATGGAGAGCGCGTAGAGGTGATTGAGCATGACGTGGTTGGGCTCGGGCAGCAGTGCTGGGTCACACTAGGAGGAGAGGAGTGTCACAGGGGAACAGCAGAGCCGTGATCCCCCAGCCCCTGCCAGCACAGGGAGCTGCTGTCTCAGGCAGCTTGAGCTGCCACCGCCTCTGGCTGTTCTGAACAGGAATAGCTAAGCTAAGCAGGAGGAGCTAAGCACCAGAAGGCCAAATCAGTGTGGTAAGTGGGAAAAGTGATGCCTTTCCTAGTAAATGCCAAGGGCTAGACCCCAGTCAAGGGGAGTGCAGGCTCCCTGCAGACAGGACTCCCATTCTAACCCCAGTGTGGCTCTCTCAGTGGGCAGCGTGCTGGTACACACCGAGATATTGGTGTCCTTGTTGAGGATGACCTGGAGGAGGTGAGGTGGGAGGATGGGTGGGGATTTGAAGCGCTCCTCGGGCCGGTATACGTACATCTCCTGGCCATAAGGCCCTGGTGGGGAGCTGGATAAATCTAGAGAGACGACAAAGGCAGAGACATGAAATGACTGAAGCAGGATGGGCGAGCACAGAGTAGCTCCTAAGAAGAACTCATCAAGGTCTTTCAAGCACAAACATTCTCCACATTCTCCCAGCCATGCGCAGGGATCTATTCTATAGCAACAGGTCAGCCTTTTCACATCAGAAAAAGCAGCAGGGTGAGCCCATGGCAATCCCAAGCAAGGCTGTAAGCTGGTACATGCACTGACACAACACAGGCACCCCATGATACCCAACACAAGAATCCTCAAGCACAGCTCTCGGCTCAGCCAGGTCCCTCTCCCTGCAGGAAGCAGCTGGCTTGCTCCAGAGCTGTGCCTGCAGCAGCAGGGGCACAGGGAGCAGGTTGCTCTAGGTGCTGCCTGATGAGGAGGTCCAGAGAAGGCAAATAGGAACTCTACACTGAGCAGCTGTTCTAAACAGAGGAGGGACCTGGGGAGCTTGTGGTCACTGAAAGCTGGACTGGGTGCATCTCCCAGCTACATCTGATCTGAACCTTTGGGAACAGCCAGCCCCCAGAAGGGCTCCATCTCCTTGGGCTGCTGCTGCTGGCTGGCTTCTCTCCAGCAGAGCGTCTCTTGCCCAGGCTGGGAAAGGACAAGGAGCTGAGCTGTACCAGCGACAAGACACACGACTGAGCTTCCTGCCAGCATTTCACACTGAGCCAGCACCACTGCTGCCTGTGCGGTAACCTAACCTGCTGCTGCAACACAAGCAGACAGGGAGGTTTGCAATGTGCTAGTGCTGGTACAAATTACCTTGGCATGAAAACCAAGAGTAGCTGCTGAAAATAAACTGGATCCTGCTATCACCTAGCTTGTACCCCGGATCAAATGACTTACAGTTGACCAGACAGAAAGGGCCGATGTTCCTGGCATTTCCCAGTATGAAATGGCTCCCTCGGCTATCCACTGCAGCAGCTCTGCTCTGGGATGGTGCTAGCACAGAACAAGTTACACCAACACAGCCCCTCCAGAGAGACGAGGCCTCAGCTGTGGGCTGAGCAGGACATGCTGCCCAACACTACTCACCCACAGTGAGGGCCCACACCTCTGCCCAGGGAGTCTGTGCACCCAGAGCAGTGAGTTTCAGAACAGAGAAGGTGGAAAACAGCACATGCAAAGCTGTAATGCCACAAAACTCACCCCGACCTGAGGTTTCTGAGCTTTCCAGGGAATCCACCTTCAACGCATCAAACACCTCGAAGTCAGACTTCTTGACGTGGATGAGGTTGTTTATCGTCCCCATCTGGCTGGTAACCACAGGCTGGAAAGAACTGGGGTGAGAATCTTCCTGTGTTCACCTCCAACTGAGGCACACTCAATGCTTCCTAGATCCTCCCAGCCCAAGCTGTCTTTGCTGCAACACTACCTCCGAGCACAGGTGGCTGATGTCCCTCCCTGCCCTATGCTCATAGACCTCTACTGTTTACCTGGGAGGATTTTCCTTTATCACAGGCTCCTACACCACCTCCTATTTCCATCCTCCATCCTGCTACATGCCCATGGGTAGGTGTGTTGTCCTTCCCATGCTGCTCCCCCATGATTCAGTTTGGAGAACCTGTGAGTGCTGACTTCATGGTCCATCTTCCCATTGCCAATTCTCAGTGGGAACTGAGGGCCTTCTGGCTTTTCCGGGCCCTTTCTCAATGCTTCCCCATAAATCATGACTAAGTCCAGAGGAACCAGCCTCTAAAATGAGTCAAAAGATAGAGGTGTGCCTTTTGTTTCAGGAGACAGTCTCTGCTCCTCCTGTTCCCCCTCTGCTGCAGTTACATCCTGTCTAGTTCCCTGAAGAAGACAAGATCTGCAAGGATAAAGCTTGGAGCATTACCTCAGATGGATCATGGACCCACTGGCCATCCACAAAAAATTTGTACTGGTGCTCTCCTTCTGGAAGGTCCAGGATAGCAACGAAGTCATTGTGGCTGTGCAGAGAAAACAGATGTGCAACAGCATCAGCCTGTTGATGCTCTGAATGCTGCTCTTCCATAGGGCCCCAGGAACCAGCAGTGCCCAGCCCCTCCACCCCAACACCTTCATGCAGGGTTAGGCTTGCTCTTCATCAGTGACCCAAGGCATGGCCACAACAGGCACGAGCATTCCAATGCTCATTTGAGCATTCCATGGCTCCAACCCCTGACAGCCCAGCTGCAAGTGTCAGTCCAGCCCTCCGTGCCCTGAGAAAGTGGACGTGACAGCCACCCTGTGCAAGCCAGGCTAAGAAGAACACATGGACAAAGCTCCTGCCCTGTGCTGGCACAGCAGGACAGGAGCAAGTGGGACAGCTCTGTTTGTCAAGTCTGAAAATTGAGATAAACTCATTCCAGATTAATTGCTAGAGTCCTACATGAGCTTCCATGTAAGTCACAGATGTGCTGCAGAACAGCGAGAACATCATTAGGGCAGGAAGATATGTGAGGGACAAACAACTAACACTCACTGGCAGCTATACAATTAGGCATGGGGTAATGGTGCAGCCAAGGGAAGAGCTGACAGCTTCCAGAGGACTGCTGCATACCTGGGCAGGGCTCTGCTGCCAGCACTGGCTGCTGCGTGACATCCAGCTGGGCAAGCAAAGTGGCCTGTCCTGTCCCTGTTTCACAACTTCCCACTGTCCCTGCAGCACCACGCAGGGAAGGAGCTGACTGTGTATTTGCCTCAGACCCACAGCTTGAGAGAACACAGAAAAACCAAGAGAGCACAGGAAAACGTTCTCTGCACTGGAGCAGACAAGAACATAGAGTAAATGACTTGAGGGACTGGCTACCTCTTTATGAGTGGGATCTTGGTGCTCCAGTTGTTGAAGGATCCAGAGATGAAGACCTCCTTGCCTCCATCAGCCCAGCGTATGACAGTCGGACGAGCCTGTTGGGATGGTTTCACTGACTCTTCCAGATCTGGCTGCCACGACACAAACTCCTTGTCCCCAGGAATCTGCGCAAAGAAAACCAGAGAGATGAGACTGAGACGCAGAGACAACTGTGAACACATTCATACAGCTGGCCTCTACCAGCCCACCTGCACATCACACACAGGAGCATCACAGAGCTCCTCCAGGCTCCCAGCTCCCCAGAGACCCCTCGCATAGCCCTACACAGGCAGTGTGCTGAGGCTCTGGAGGCCAGGCAGGGAAGGGAGCAGCCAGCCCCTACCTTGGAGTCCTGGGAGCTGAAAACGCTGGGGTCGTCGGTGCTGCCCACCATGATCTTGTGCGGATGCTCCTTGGCGGGGTGGGAGGCACCGGAGCCGTCCGAGCGGTGGGACTTGGAGCCATGGCGCTCCCCAGACACCCGCTCGCTGGTGGTGTTCCCCATGACAGCTCAGCAGCCCCTGGGAGGGAGACACAACAACACCCTGCCTTTGCCCACGGGCTCTGGCAGCAAGGACAGGAGCAAAAGAGCTGTCTCCCAAATGTTCTTTGCCAGTGGAGACAAACAGCAATCCTAAAAAAGGCTCCAAATTCATTTCCAAGTTTGGGAGATGAATGGGAAATCAACAAACAAGACAGCTGGACCTAATTATAGCCACATCCTTAAGAACCATCATTCTAGTTAAGCTCGTAATTGTTAAGACTCCAAAACCAATATGACTTCACCTGCGTCCCACATCAGCCCTCGGCAGCCAACAGAGTAGAGCTGACGGAAAAAGAAAGCAAACCATTATTGGTAAATCAACTGCCTGGCGTTAACAGAGCCTCTTTCAGAGTCCTGCAGTCAGGCTCTACAGACAGCCCAGCAAGAAAACAGCCACGGAGTGAAAGTAGCAGCTGTTTTACAGTCCCCAACAAGTCTCCAAGAGCTCGCAGGCAGAAGAGCAGAGCCTTGTGCCTGCAAAGGCGACAGGGAGCATTTAAAGTGTCCGAATGGAATTGCCCAAGCTGGAGCTTGTCCAAGGAGCAGGGCTAATGCTGTGGTGTCTGTAAAAAGCTCAGCTCTCAGCAGCATTCACTTATGATTCACCAGGCAAGTCACTGTGTCAGCTGCAGCACAGCACACCAAGGAGGACTGTTTGTTGGGACTTAGCCAGCACCTGCCCAGCTGTCTGGAGGGACAAGGTGAGGGAAGGGCAGCTCTGGTCACCTCAGTGTCCCTCTGCAGCTGAAGCTGGGTCTCCATCCCCAGTCTCACCCAGCTCAGAGAAAGCAAAACAGGAGAATTGACCAAGCCATGAACAACTACACACCTTTTAGGATAAACAACAAAGCCACAGCAAGCTACACAGGACTCTTCAGGCCTTACCCTCTTTCCAGGAGCCAAGATGGACTGGAGTTTTTGCCCACTTCCAGGCTTATTTTGCAGCTTTCAGCTTACCTTGGGCTCTGCAGAGCAAGCAAGGAGACAGCCAGCCTTGCTTCATGTGCTCGCTTGTGACATTTGGAGGTTTGTTTAAAAGATCAAGTTATATGAAGAGTGCCAAGCGAGGCTGCCAGCCAAATCCAGGCTTTAGAACATTATGGAGCAATTACTACGGTATTTCTTAAACCCTGAGGGCTAAAAGGCAGCTCAAGTGGGCAGCTAAGCCATACCCCCACCCCTCTCAGGGCAGATCAAGTATACCTGAAGATCCAGGTCAAATGAGCTACACCTCTTGCTCTGACACCTTCCCCCTCTGCTCTGCAGAGGCTCAGACAGCTCCTCACAAAAACTGCCCCTGTACCACCAGATCTGCTGTTGAGGAGTTTCCTCTCCAGTATCTTCACTAAGGCTCCCTTACTTCTCATCTCCAGGGAGGAAGGTGGGAAAGGCTGAACTTCCCTTGTAGCAGGACAGACCTGGGAGATATGTGCAGGTGTTAACGGGTGTGAAGCTTCCCTTTCTCTTCTCTAAAAAACTCCAGTCCCTCTGTCCCTTACAGGTCATGCTCTCCAAGCACTCCCTAAGGTTTATCCCAGGCTCCTGTCTGCTGTGTGCCACCTGAATCCCCTGCATCACACACACAGGCACCCGGGCTGTGCCAGGACAGGTCTTTGTGCACAGTCTGCAATACCTGGCTTTGCTGAATTAACTTTTACAGCTCAAACCCTCCTGCATCCAGGCCAGCCCTTGGAACATTAGGAGATGGTGTGACACAGGTACACTCAAGTAATGGATGGAAATGTCCACACCACAGTCCCAGCAAACCTCCACGGCATCTTGGCACATCCGCTCCCAGTCTGGCAGCAAGCCCCTGCCAGCCACAGCCCACAGCAAGGTGGCTGCCTGCCTGCCCCATCACCAGGGCCCTTCGGTTCCAGCCAGCCCCAGCTTCTCATGTGGAAGATGACATGTGAGTTATGCCCATTGCCCTCCCCGGGAAGCGGCCGGGCTGGGAAGCAGGGGCAGGCAGCCCGAAGCGGCGTGTGCGGAGGGATGGCGGCACCGCCAGTACCGGCAGGCATTCCCGGGGCTCGGAGGGTCCAGCACCTCGCCGGGCTGACACCGCCCAGGGAAGCCTGATCCGCCCGGATCTCCCTATTTCGGAGACGGGAAGCAGAGCTGAGCCCTGAGGTCGCCGTGAGGGGGATGAGCTGGGAAAGCGGGGGCGGAAAATCTCCCTCCGAGGAGGCAGGGCTGGGGCTGGGGCTGGGGCTGGGGCTGGGGCTCTGCTCGGCGGGGCGGCAGCGGGGCTGTCACGGCGGGCTCGGCCCACGGGCCCTCGCGGGTCTGCCGCGGCCGGGGGAGGAGCGGGACACACCGGCAGGGGTCGGGCCCTCCCGGAGGCTGCCAGGCGGGGTCTGCACCGCTGCGGGCTCCGGGACACCGCTACACCGCGGGGACGCGCAGCCACGCCTCACCCGCCGCCACCCTCACACCCACCCTCACACCCGCCCGCCGTCCCCGGGCCCTGCCGGACCCCACCTGCCTCCTCCTCCTCCTCCTCCTCCTCCGCCGCCGCCGCCGCCGCTGCCCCGCTCTCCGCCTCCGTCCAAGATGGCGCCACCCCCCGCCGGCCGCTGCGGGGCGCTCTGACCCGCCCCCGCCGCGCCCCGCGGCCGCGCCCCGCCCCCGCCCCGCGGCCCGCGCCCCGCGGCCGCCATGTTCGCTGCGGGCACGGCCGCGGCCGCCATGTTCGCTGCGGGCACGGCCGCGGCCGCCATGTTCGCTGCGGGCACGGCCGCGGCCGCCATGTTCGCTGCGGGCAGGGCCGCGGCCGCCATGTTCGCTGCGGGCACGGCCGCGGCCGCCATGTTCGCTGCGGGCACGGCCGCCATGTTCGCTGCGGGCACGGCTGCGGCCGCCATGTTCGCTGCGGGCAGGGCCGCGGCCGCCATGTTCGCTGTGGGCAGGGTATCGCAGCAGGAAAGCTCAACAGACCAGGCTGTGGAACAGGGATTTTTGGAATTCACTTAAGTTAGCAAAATGAATCAAGCATTTATATTCGAGCTTGTAGAGTTATGTGTTGAAGTTTTACCTTTTACTTAAGAAACCTCTGCCAAGATACAAAAGGGCATAAGAAAATGCAAATTACTGAAGCTTATTGCGTAAGGAACAATAACAAAAAGGGGCATGAAAATACAAAGAACCCAGATAAAGAGGCTCCTCTGCCTCCAAACTTAGAAAGACTGACAGATGGTACTAAGATAAGCACCAAAAGACCGAAAGCACATGCGCAGATAAGAGTTCAAAAGTTCAACCTTGAGGAACACTACGATCTTCAGCCTCAGAGACCACCAGAGACCCCTGCAGGACCACCACAGCAAACCTCACATGCACAGAAGGGCGTGGACCTATATAGCATGAGAGGCGAGGACAGGCGAAGCCAGGGGTTGAATATGCATAAAAAAGTTTTGTAATGTACTGCATATGGAACACCTTTGTGAATAAAGGCTTGGGTCAGACCAAAGCTCAGTGGACAAGTCTTGGAGAGCGATCTCACTTGTGCTGAGCGCTGGCAATACATACCCACTTCATAACTACCCCAGGCTGTGGAGTCTATTTATTTATTCCGCATATCGCTTCGGCTGCACCTTCAAGGAACGGCTCCCTCCGTGCTCCGGCATAGCTAGCGAGACACAACAGACAGAAGCCCAAGGGGAACGGAGAAGACTGCCGGCAGGACCTGCTGTCTCCTTCCCTTTAGGCTAAGGACACAGCGAGACATAGACGAGGGTGGCCACAATCATGGCGATGCTGAAGAGCACCGTGAGGACGTGTGGCGCAGCGCTGGGGCGGGCAGGGTGGCGGCTGGCCCGCGGCTGCAGGGCCCGGACCACACGCTGCCGCTGGCTGAGGATGGCGGCCCTGGCTCCTGCCCACGCGCCCGGGCCCCGCAGCCGGTACTGGTACGGCGTGCAGGGACCGAAGGCCACCTCCATGGCCAGCCTGGGGTCCGTGAGGAACAGGGAGAGCAGGTTGGGCTTGACCCCCAGCTGGCAGGCGAGCTCGTCCATGTAAGGGATGTAATCCACCTGGATGGTGTGCCGCTGGCTCTTCACGTACCTGCAGGCAGGGAGGGAGGGAGGGCAGGAGGGTCTGACACGGGGAGCACCGGGGGTAAGGGTGGCAGGGCCGTGCTGCACGGGGGCCTTACCTCTCAGCCATTCTCTGCTTGGTTTGTGTGATTTCGGCCAGCATGTCAGTGGATGACGGCAGACCTTGCAGCCCTGGGCAAAAGGAGGCTGGAGCTGGAGGTTGGGCTGTGCTTCTGCCATAGTCTGGATGGCTCTGCAGCCCAGCCTGGCCTCTGTTTGCACGTGGGGCTTTTGGGATGTGCCACTGCGTTAGGGGCAAAGTGGGAGACATGGGCAAAGAAAGTAACAGCAGGAAAGGAAAGGGAGAATGTGGTTGGAGGCAACAGCACCAGTTAGTGACCCCCACAAGAGAACAGTGCAAGAGTCATAGAAAAGTGCAAAGTGGGGTTTTGTCCTCATGAAGAAGTAAAAGGAAGATAAAAAGGTGAGTGTGGAGAGGCAGCATTTGAGGGGATGCCACCAGCAATAACTCAGTCTTGGCGTGGCTGGGGGAGCCCAGTTGCATCCCTCAAACTGCCCTGACTTACCTTTGAAGACACGGGTGGCCCAGCGACACTGGAGCTCTGAGATGGGCATGATGGCTCCTAGGGGCTGGATGAGGCCAATGAAAGCCAGCGTTGGCTTTTCCAGGTCAGGGGGGAACATGTGTTTGTAGAGAGGAATCTGGTTCTCCACCACCTTCACGCAGCCCTCGAGGAACGGGAAGGAGAAGCTGTATCCCGTGGCAAAAACTACGGCATCGACGTCTTCCCTGGTGCCATCCTCAAAGATGGCAGATGTCTCTGTGAACTCCTGGATGTTCGGCTTCACCTGCACCCTGCCCGAAATGATGCGGTTGGGCAGGTCGTCGTTGACGGTTGGGTGCTGGTGAAAGACCCTGGAAGGCACAGACAGACCTTGTTCAGGCCCTGGCAGGGGGGTGGGCGTTGCTGGAGCAGGTACCCAGGGTGCTGCTGGGGTGCTCACCTGTGCTTGGGCTTTAGGCCATAGAGTGCGTGGTCAAAGCGGGCATTCAGCTTCCGCTCCAGGAAGGAACTGGTGATACTTGGAGGCAGCAGGTTCTGGAGGAGCTGCACGAAGCGACTGATGTAGCTGATATCAAAGGGGTACCCGCTGTCTGCCACCCGGTGCATCACCCAGGACCCACGCCTGGTGCTGAGGAAAACCTGGAAGGAAGGTGAAGGGAGGTGGTGGCACGGCAGCATGCTCAGACTGGGCTGGGCCCCTGCTGTGCTCCAGAGACAGAGCAGCCAGCACAGCTGCTGGGACCACCATAGCCACCCCCCCAGAGAGGGGACAGGGTGCTTGTGCCAGGTGCTGGAGGTTAGGGAGCCCACAGGGGATGGTGGGTGATGCTCGGTGCCCTCTGGGGTTCTGTCCCTGTGAGCTCTCCCAGCACACCTGCTTGGCTGTGTGGCTCAGCTCCACTGCGATATCGATGCCTGAATTCCCAATGCCAACCACGACCACCCGTTTTCCCAAAAAGGGCTGAGGGTTCTTGTAGTCGCGGCTGTGCAGGTACCAGCCCTCAAACTTTTCCAGCCCTGGAAGAGAGAGGGAAGCCGTGCTGGGCTGGGTTGTGGAGCAGGAGGGTGGCTGGCCCTTGTTCAAGGCTGGTGGTGTGTTTTGGGAACAAGCTAGCAGCAGTGTGACCAACTGGAGTTATGCAGCCCTGGGGTGGCTGCCCAGACAGGTGGTGGCATCACCAAAATGGAAGATTCTTAGTGTAGCCCTGAGCATCCTGATCTGGCTTTGTGACTAGCCTGGCTTGGAACAGAGCTTGGACTGGAGAATTCCATGCTTCCATCCCAAAATTCTGCTGCAGATCCTGTCTGCTGCCATGCATTGCCAGTAGAGGAATAATCAGGGTTTGTGCCACCTCACCAGACCCTGGTGACAGTGTGATTCAGCTTGTTCCCTAGCCAAAGAGGGTCTCCACAGCTGGAAGCTCTCCAGGCATTTTCACCTGGCACCTAGAGGCAAGACCACCACCAGTGCTGAGCCCTCCAGCCTTGGTGAGGAGCTGGAGGGCCCACAGCTGCTTGGCCAGCAGCATGGAGAGGGAGCCTGTCTCAGGTGGGAGAGGCACGCTGGCAGCGGTGGTATCTGCCAGCAGGATGCTTGGGACACTCATGCAATCCCCCTGGTGTGGTAAAACTGCAGAGGCATTTAGGGATGTCAGGGAGCAGGCGAGCAGCCCACAGGCAGTACCTGGGAAGGAACTGAGCGGGAGATGAGCATCGGTGTGGTGCCCACTGCACACCAGCACGGCGTCGAAGACGGCCGCCTCCTGCTGCCCCTCGCTCTCCGTCACCACCTCCCACTGCCCGCTGCTGGCGAAGTCGGGGCGCTTGGACACGCGGCACACGCTGGTCTGGGCGCAGGGGAGCGGTGTCAGGCACCCTGTGCCCCCGTTCCCGCTGCCACCTCCCCCTCGGCCCCAGCCCTCACCCTGAAGCGGATGTGGCGGAGCAGGTCGAAGTGCTGGGCGTACATGCGGAAGTACTCCATGATCTTGGAGTTGTGCATGTAGTTGGGGAAGTCCTCAGGGATGGGGAAGTCGCTGAAGCACATCATTTCCTTGGAGGTGTTGATGATGACGGAGCGGTAGATGCTGGCACGGCCGTCCTCGGGGTGCTCCTGTGGGAGCGGGGCACAGCTCAGCGCTGACCGGGGAATGATGGGCCACCTGCCTGCCCCACCTGGCACCTCCCCTGTGGGTGCAGGATTAAGCCACAGGTTGTTGTAGCACTGATCCCTGCACCCAGCAACTCTCCTGTGGTTGAGAAACACACCCCCCCCTCAAAAAAACCCCCAGGGATGTGTCTCTGGACTGGCGGGAGCCAGGCAGTGGTGACAGCGGGTCATGGTGGTCTTGTGCCTCAGTTTCCCCACTTCCACTCCTTGCCCCTGTGAGGCAGTGCATTCCCAAAGCTCCTGTGGTGCTGTTGCCCTGGCTGCCACATTAGGTCTCACCAGTTGTGGAGCCAATTCCAGTGCTTCCTGCTGAGTGGTTGCTCCTGCTTACCAGGTCTGTGTCTCGACAACTGGATGCTGCTGCTCTGGTTCTGCTCCACCAACCCTGTCCCTGACCCATCACAGGTAGAACTAGTGGACTGTGACAGATCCACCCCAGACCCCACTCTGGCGTGATGCCACCTGTGTCCCCCCAGAGCTCTCCCACACACATATCAGGGCATGGTGGGAACACTGGTCATTTTGTTGGTGGTCCATGGGATTAAAGTCAGCAGCTTCTCTAGGTGGGGCAGAGATGAGCTCCAGGATTGTTCCAAGGCAGGGACAGGCCAAGGCACAGAGAAGGCAGGACATGGTGTCTCTGTGTGGGTGAGTGGCACAGAAAGAGGGGCAACCATGACTCCAGGAAAGTGCTGGGCAGGACAGGGACAGACAGCGGGGTCAGATAAGATAGGTAGGCAAGGGCTAGGAGTGACCAAGAGCAAAACAGCAGAGGAAGGTGTGGATGAGACTGGGAAGGGAGGAATGGGAAAGGGGAAATCTGCACTGGGGGAGCAAGCCATGGAGTGAAGTCCCTGGGGAGGCTTCATCCTGCTGCTGGTGAGCAGGGGCTGGGTCCTACGTGCCTGGCACACCGACTGGCACCACGCTGCCAAATCAGTTTTACTTGCCTTGATTTTCCTTGGAAACTTGCCTGCTGCGCGGCCGCAAAGCAGGGGAGCGGTGTGTCATTATCTGCCAAGGACCAACCCCCAGCCTGTCTGTGCTGCTGCCGAGAACAGGCTGGCTGCGTGGGGCTTACCTCGAAGCGCCAGAGCCCCCCGATGTCCTTGCTCCTCTCAAAGCAGGTGGGCTGCAGCCCCTCATCCAGGCAGCATTTCAGGGCGCAGAGGCCGGAGGCACCGGCGCCGATGATGGCTACTCTGCGAGCAGCCATGTCCCACGGCGTGCTGGGGGCAGGGATGCTGGAGAAGCTGTGGCCGGGAGCTGCAGAGCCAGGCACGTCCCTCAAGGGAGACTGCCCAGTGCTGCTCCTTTTGAGGGTGACTGTCCCTGTACTTCCTGTGGGTGGCCAAGCTGTCACAAGATGCGCTTCTTCCAAACATGATCTACAGGTTTCTCTCACCTCCTTGCCACACCTCCTGGCTCGCCCTGCCCTTTGCAAGAGGCGCACTAAGTTCTGTAAGCGCTTAATGATACCAACATTGCCCCGGGTCTTCCTGGGCAGAGCAGAGATGTGGCTGTGCTTCAGATTTCAGCAAGCTGTGGCATGGAAAACAAACTTAGGGGATGGGGAGGGGACTGGCATGACCAGTCCAGGCATCTGATGGACAGGACCCCCATCCTTTACCCACTCTGGGTGCCCAGCACACCCAGCCACCTTCTGGAGGAGCTGTGTGCAGGTGAGCAGGGTGGCTCTGAGCCGTGCCACGGTGAGCACCAGGACCCGCTGTGGTGGGACACACCTTGGGAGAGGCTGTCTCACTGTGGAGTGTATGTGTACGTCAGCCCATGCTGTAGTAGGCCAGTTCTACAAGGCCAATCTCTGAGCATTCCCATAGCACACAGAGGGTCATGATGGTGTCAGTAACAGGAGAGACACGTGGCTGTTTAATGCATTTATCCACTTAGAAAGTGTGCTGTGCCTTTGCTGCTTAGCTCTGGTGCGCATGTGGCAAAATTGGCATGGCTGGGTTACAGCGGACAGAAAAGCCTGGAGCGCTAGCTGAGAGGGACTGGAGTTTAGCCTGCAGTGAGCAGGTTTCCTCCTCTGTCCATGACAGCATTCCCCAAGGGGAGGTGCAGAGCAGGAGCCCAAGTATTACTTTGGCAGCTGGGGAGGTTCTGTGCATCCCTAGTTCATGGTATGGTCACAGCTGGGCCGTGCAAGGCAGGAGGAAGGTTTCTGCCACCACTGGGGTGCACAGGCTGCCAAGGGGCAGGGGTGGCCAGCCAGTGTCACAACACATTGCAAAGCTGTCCTGGTTTAAGAAGTCACCCCAGGACAAAAGCCTCCCTTCCTGCGCTTGCAGGGCACCTACAAGTAAGCAAAAACAGCTGCCAGGATGGCCACGGCCCCAATCAGCTTGAAGATGAGGGGCATGGCAGGGGCTGAGGTGCTCTCTTCCACATGTCGTGTCTGCAGGGGCTTGAGGATGCGCTGCTGCTGGCTGAGGATGGCGGCCCTGGCTCCTGCCCACGCGCCCGGGCCCCGCAGCCGGTACTGGTACGGTGTGCAGGGACCGAAGGCCACCTCCATGGCCAGCCTGGGGTCCGTGAGGAACAGGGAAAGCAGGTTGGGCTTGACCCCCAGCTGGCAGGCGAGCTCGTCCATGTAAGGGATGTAATCCACCTGGATGGTGTGCCGCTGGCTCTTCACGTACCTGCGGGCAGGGAGGGAGGGCAGGTAGGTGCTGGAAGCAGAGCTGGCAGATGCCCTGCACACCAGGAAGGACTGGGTAGTGTGGCCAACCACATCCCTGCCCTCTGTTGGCACACACAAATGTGGCAGGATTCATCCAGGGGACAGGATGGGTGCCCATGAGCAGCTGTGCCGAAGGCAGCCCCTTGGTGCTCCTGCAGGGATCTTACCGCTTTGCCATCACTTCTTTCTTCTGCTCAATGTCAGCCTCCATGTCGTGCTGCAGGGGCAGCTCGTTCAGCCCTGGGGAGGATGAGACACAGTGGCCACTGTAGTTCTGGCCTTGCCTGCATGCTGTGCCTCTGCCAGCACCACCCTGGTGTGCGGTTTTGCACCCGAGGGATGTCCAAGTGCCGCAGGATGGGAAGGAGCAGCCTGTAGAGCTCAGGGTAGGGATGGACCTGTGCCTCTCAAAGAAGAGGCCATCCCACCATGACAGCCACAAGGCAGCCATGCCATCACCATGGCCAAGATGGCACAACCATCTGCTGCCTTCTCAACATGGCTTGGCACCATCTGCCCTCACTCCAGGATCACATCCACAGGACAGGTTTGCCTGACTTACCTTTGAAGACACGGGTGGCCCAGCGACACTGGAGCTCTGAGATGGGCATGATGGCTCCTAGGGGCTGGATGAGGCCAGTGAAAGCCAGCGTTGGCTTTTCCAGGTCAGGGGGGAACATGTATTTGTAGAGGGGAATCTGGTTCTCCACCACCTTCACGCAGCCCTCGAGGAACGGGAAGGAGAAGCTGTATCCCGTGGCAAAAACTACGGCATCAATGTCTTCCCTGGTGCCATCCTCAAAGATGGCAGATGTCTCTGTGAACTCCTGGATGTTCGGCTTCACCTGCACCCTGCCCGAAATGATGCGGTTGGGCAGGTCATCGTTGACGGTTGGGTGCTGGTGAAAGACCCTGGAAGGTGCAAAAAGCCATTAGGGCACTGGGAAGGGAGTGTCTGCTCTGTGTCCTGCTCCAGCTGCTGCTCCCTGCTCTGGGGCAGCTGCCCCTACGCTGCTGTCTCCAAGAGACCTTGGAAGGGGCAGTGGTGGCTCCCTCAAGCATTGCCTGGGCACAACAAAATAATAACCCAGTCCAAGAGCAGGGAGAAGGGAATGGTGTCTCAGATGGAAAGGCAAGATGTATTCCATTTGCCATCTGTATGGCAGTTGTCTTCTGTTAAGTGGGCAGTTTTCCTGATCTCTTCCACAACCAGTCCTCTCTCAGGGGAGACAACTGCTGATGATGGGCTATTGAATGTCACTGTATGATTGGTAAGAACTATAACACTCCACTGTGAGATGCGCTGCCCAGAGGGAAGAGCCAAGCATTTCTACCTGGATATAATGTTGAGTTTCTAGAACACCAGCACAGCTTTTTCTGCACTAGATTTCCCAGAGGAACAGCTGCCTCTTCCACTACAGGAAGACTACACCCTTTTCTACAGGATCACTGCTCCAATAGAACCACACCTGCCACTACAGGAGGACTGCAGCCATAATTCCCAATTAAACTGCTGCCAACACCCTGACCAACAGGGTGTCAGGTTGTGTTCTGACTCTGCCAGTGTTGTTTTGGTTCACTGTATTGTTTATTTTATCTTTTTATTTTCTTCCCTAATAAGGAACTGTTATTTTTGCTCCCACATTTTTGCCTGAGAGCCCCCCTTAATTTCAAATTTATAACAATTTGGAGGGAGGGGGCCTACTTTTTCTTCTTTTTTTTCTTCCTCATTTCAGGAGAGGCTCCTGCCTTCCTTAGCAGACACCTATCTTTCCAAACCAACACAAATGACCAAACTGGGCAGGACACAGAAGCAAGCAGACCATCCCTTCTGGGCAGGGGGAATGTTTGGTGATACCTGTGCTTTGGCTTCAGGCCGTAGTGTGAGTGATCGAACCTGGCATTCAGCTTCTTCTCCATGTAGTCACATGCCACGGACGAGCCGAGCAGCCCCTGCAGGAATGTCTTCAGGCGGGTGTTCAAGATGGTGTCGATGGGGTAGCCCCCATCTCCAACTCGGTTGAAGACCCACGCACCCCGGCGGGTACTGAGGAAGACCTAGACAAGGAAGAAGCATCACTGGCTGAAAGCAGTGGTGGTCCTGGGAGGGCTGCCCTGCGGGGGATGTGCTCTTGCCCTGGGATCACTCTGCTTTTTGCTGCCCAAGCATTGGGTAAATACCCAGAGGGCAGAGGGAGCTGGTGACTGGCATCTTGCAGGGGAGTGGGACCAAGTCTCAATTGACTGGCAGCTGGGATTGGCAGGAGCCAGCATTGCCAAACACAACAAGTGCTGGCATGGAGCACCAGCTGTGCAAGTGCCTTGGTCCTGGTGTCCCAGCAGAGCTGACAGGGACCCACAGGGGCAATCCTCCCCACCGGGACCCTACTCTTGCTTACCTGCTGGGCTCTTTGGCTGATCTCGACAGCCAGGTCTGACCCCGAATTGCCGATCCCGATGACAACAACTCTTTTGTCTGTGAAAGCCTGAGCATCCTTGTAGTCTCGGCTGTGGAGGTAGCAGCCCTTGAACTTCTCAATTCCTGTGAGCAGGAGGAGAAGGGATGCTTGGCTTCCTGCTGCCAGGTTGGAAGATCACCCCCTAAAGACTGGAGATTCTCCCGTGCCCCACCAAACCACTCCTGGGGAGCACAGGAGCACTCCTGGAGTCAAAGCAAGGCAGGGAAATATTTGGGCCAGGAGGGAAAGCAGCAGAGAGAATAGGGACTGGCATGGACTACCTTTCTAGCGTCTCTGGTGTCTCCTCACACCAGGGTACGGGGCAGTACCTGGGAAGGAACTGAGCGGGAGATGAGCGTCGGTGTGGTGCCCACTGCACACCAGCACGGCGTCGAAGACGGCCGCCTCCTGCTGCCCCTCGCTCTCCGTCACCACCTCCCACTGCCCGCTGCTGGCGAAGTCGGGGCGCTTGGACACGCGGCACACACTGGTCTGGGCGCAGGGGAGCGGTGTCAGGCACCCTGTGCCCCCGTTCCCGCTGCCACCTCCCCCTCGGCCCCAGCCCTCACCCTGAAGCGGATGTGGCGGAGCAGGTCGAAGTGCTGGGCGTACATGCGGAAGTACTCCATGATCTTGGAGTTGTGCATGTAGTTGGGGAAGTCCTCAGGGATGGGGAAGTCGCTGAAGCACATCATTTCCTTGGAGGTGTTGATGATGAGGGAGTGGTAGATGCTGGCACGGCCGTCCTCGGGGTGCTCCTGTGGGAGCGGGGCACAGCTCAGCATTGCCCGGGGAACGATGGGGAAGGATGGCTGGGGCTGATGAGGTGCTTCTTTTCACGGAGCCCCTGCCCTCAGTCTCACCCAGGAGATCCTACTATGGCCGGCTGCCACCCCACCAGCCACCACTGACCCCTGAGGGTCACCGTGCTGACCCCAAGCAGGACAGGTGGCCAGCAGGGTTTACCTCAAACCTCCAGAGGCCTCCGATGTCGCCAGTCCTCTCGAAGCAGACGGGCTCCAGCCCCTCCTGGAGGCAGGCTTTGATGGCGCACAGCCCGCTGCTGCCGCCGCCGATGATGGCCACCTTCTTTGCCATGCTGCGCTCCACCGCCGGCTCTCTGCCTGGGGACAGCGTCGGACAGCCGGGCTGAGCTGCCAGGGGTGCAACTGTGCAAGACTTTGACCCTGGTCAAAGAAGTCCCGAGCAAGAGAGGCAGACCCTCAAATGTTTGTCTGGTGTTGCAAAGCCACTACTGTCCCCTGCAGGTGTGGACCTGGCCAGTGCTGGGTTTTGCACTACTGTGGTGCTGCCTCTGGATGCCTTGAGGAGAAATCCCACCGGGTGTCAGTGAGCCTCTGTGGGAGTCCAGGGCTTCCCTCTGGCTGCCCTGGCAGGCCTGGGACCCTGGCAGGGGTCAGGAACCCCCCTGGACAGAGCCCCCAGAGACACTGTCTGTGATCTCTGTCCATGGAAAAGAGTTTTCAATCTTACAGGATGAATTACAAGCTCTGAGTGTTTGATATAAGTAATAATTAAGTGTGGCACGGGTGCAAAAGTAAAATTTTAGGTTTCTAGATTAGGGGTTCAGAGGGGACAAGATGAAGGAAATTGGGTGTGTCTTGTCCTTTTC